TTTTTTTTTTTTTGTACCTGGAGATTGAACTCGGGCAGGTGGTGAAACCACTGAGCTAAATCCCTGGCCCAAAAAGTATATGCTTTAAACTGCAGGATTTATTAGAATTACAGGATCTTTTTCTTTGGTTTCAGTGCCGGAGATTGAACACAAGGCCTCCCACATGCTAGGCAAGTGCCCTACCACTAAGTGACACCCCCAACCCCAAGAATCTTTAATATACAAACAGTAAAGCTTTTCAACTTGATTGGTCATGGAGCCTTTTTTTGAGAAGCACTTTTAAGAGCCCTACTGATTCCACAGAACATAGCTAAGGAACTCATCTTCTTGGATATTATTTTCAACTATGTTTTCTGTTGGATTACTAGTGCTAATAATTAGTGTTATAAACTGAAGAATTTACTCAAAGAACTTATTGTCTATTGAAGACTTTATTCATTCTTCATATTATTAAATCTAAATCATTTCTCTCAACAATGTGTTACTATTTTCCTAGCGCTAGTATCCTTATTCCTAAAAAAGGTAATACAACTTTTTATACACATCTTTAGATTATATATATTGATCACACAAATATAGGTTAAATGTAGTGTTGAAGACAGAATAATGACCATAAGCCCCTAAAATTGTTCCCCTAGGCTGCTACCAAGATATTCTAATGACATTTCTTTTCTTCAGTAAATTTTTAAGTCTACCTTTGTGACTCCCAAATGCCAATATTGGTGGTTCTTAAAAATTCAATCTGCTTTCAAGGGCAAAGATTAGTGCCACCAGAGATATTTAGAAGAATGCATTACTATATCTCTAAAAGGACCCACATCAAGGTTTTAAGAAAGTAAAGATCTTTGGAATAAGGTATAGCATTTTGAAGTGACTACTTTGGATGGGGTAATATTCACTTTGATGCATAATGCCTGACTACTAAAAAAATTAGACTTCATTGTATTTTTTTGGATTTTTCTGTTCTTCCTAAATAACCAATATGTATTTGCTTATAATCAGAGAAAACACAAAAAACATTAACTTAAAAGGGTGGTTATATTACCACACTGTTACACAGCTTAGATAACATTTCAAAAATACATTCTTTTATATGGTTGAAGATACATGTAGCTAACATATCATGTCATAATGGGAAAAATATTGTGAAGATTCACATACTAAATTAAGACAGACTAACTTCCATGAAAACGCTGCCTCTTTGTACTGTAACATGTTAAATGTATTTACTCAAGTCTTAGAAATCATGCAATCTCACCTACAGTTGGAGGAAGCAGCTTCACAGCTTTGAGGGTGAGGCTAGGGGCCCTGGTTTGTGGGTATCTCTAGGGCCTAGACCAATGAGACAAACTCAAAAGGAGGTCTCTTCTTATAGCACATCCCATAATGATACTGCAGTCCTTTTCTGAGACATGTAAAACCCTAGAATAAAAAGTCCCCCAAGCAGGTCAAGGATGGAATGTGCAGCTAGTTACCTGCAACCATGGGCCTTTGGAAGCGAGCTGTGTCCTTGAGGAGCACACCATGCAGTGGAGGTTTCCGAAGCTCAAAGGAGAGTTCTTCAGGGACTGTTTGGGTGTCCCTTACTACCACCTGAAGGCCTGCAGTGAGGAGAATAAAGCATGGGGACAGGATGGGCACAGTAACAACTGTATCCTCTGTACACATTAAAGCCACAGGCCAGGCTGGATGCCAGGGTGTGGGCAATCTGCAATCCAGTCCAGCACAACAGAGAAAGATGATCATATAGTTGACTTAAAAATGGTAAGTAGGTTCTTCCAAAAATTTACTTATAAACAGGCACTTCTGAATTGAGAAATTTGGAACACTTTTTTTCTTCCATACAAATGAGGACATATATAAAGAAAGACCAGATGTAGGTCAGTCCTGACCAGCTGGGCTAGGTGGTACTTCAGAAAATACTCTCATAAACTGTTTTCTACTTTTCATTTTTCCTTTTATTATTTTCCTGAATATCCCAGGAAAGCCAAATTTAATGATAGCTGCTACGGCCATCATGAAAGCGAGAAATAGAGTAAAAGTGACATTTATTATTATAAATGTGGCTTGCTTATAAGTTTGATGACAATTATTTTTTTGGCCAAAACCCACATGTAGAAATTTGATAATTAATTTTAAGAGAAAATCTCACATGGAGAAACTATAGGTACCTATAGAGTACATTTAACAAAAATCACAATGCCCACTGTTTGCTAGTAAAATGTCCTTGGTGAAAGAAGGACAATCTAAAGAGCATGCATGCTAAGAAGAAAACACAATCACACACAAAATAACAGGACCAACTCTAACTCTTCAAACTCCTGAAGGTTATTGTAATTCATCATTTTTCCTATTCCTCTTCACTTTCTAAACAGAAAACAAGAGCAGTCATTGAAACTTGCTCCCTGTATTCTCTTCTCTGCTCTGTTACTTTATATTTTAGTGATGGCAACAAATCAAACTCTGGGAGGCTGGGAAATAAATTCTGTGCTGCATTCCATCACAAGCAGTGGCCTTGGAAGAGTTTATTTCCTTCTCTCTGTGCTGCGTCTATTTGCATAAGAATGGGCAGGAGTAAGGATAGAGATGAGAATAATCACAACTTCTGGGAGGGAGGTGACTATTTCTTGGTAACCACCAAGAAATCTGAAGAGAGTCAGCTGCTGAAATACGGTCCTGTTTTCAGAGCTATGTTTGCTTCTGGGTTCCCAGTTCTTACCGAGAGAAGCACGGCCTCCTGGGCTGACCTCAAGCAGGGGAGCCATGACCTGGAGCGCTGGTGGTTGCTGGTTGTTGGGAAGTAAGTGAATGGTGAGGGCCATCTCTGGACTTGTGTGCTCTCCATCAGAAACTAGAGAGAATACACACACACACACCACAAATACATAAATCAAATCATAGTCTGATCATCTTTAGGCTGTTTCCAAAAGTACAGTGTTATGGTTGGGAATCCACAATGTTCCCTAAAGCCTCACTGTGTGGAAAGCTTGGTTGCTATCTGATGGGATTTGGGCCACTAAATGGATCATGAGGTTTTAAACTTCATTAAGTAGATTAATCCACTGATAAGTACATAGCTCAGTGGGCTTATTGGGAAGTGGGGCCTAACTGGATCAGACAGGTCAGTAGATGATGCCTTTGTTGCTGACTCGTTCTTCTGTGGCTCTTTCACTTTCTCCATCTCTCCCTGTTTCCTGGCTGCCAAGCAATGGACAGCTTACCTCCATCACAGCCTTCTGCCATGATGTTTCTACCTTGCCACAGTCCTCAATCAATGGGGCAGCTTACCATGGCTGAAAACCTCTGAAATCATAAGCCAAAATAAATCTTTCCTTCTTTAATTTGTGTGTGTCAGATATTTTGTCCCAGCAACAGAAAAGTGACTAATATACATAGCTAGAAGCATTTTTAAGATAAACTTAACACTTTGAAGAGATGTTTACAGATGGTAAAAGTAAGCAAGCAAAGAGGACACTGTAAGCTGTACCAACAAAGCATTTTTTTTTGTTTGGGTTTTTTTTTTTGGTACTGGGAATCGAACTCAGGACCTTGCGCTTGCGAGGCAGGCGGTGGAACCACTGAGCTAAATCCCCAGCCCCCAACAAAGCATTTTTTATGGCTAAGAAAAAGGATAACAAACCAAAAGAACAGTTATTTTAAAAGAGTACTTTCACAGCAAGGTGATTTTGATAAATGTTGCTGGAAAGTAGTACAAAATATGCACTTTCAAAATATGATGTTAAAGGCTTTCATTTATGCAATTTTTTGGATTCTGTTCATTCCTCTAATATTCTAGAAATATATTTTCTCTTAAGAACTCTCTTTCATAAATGATGTGTTTTTGTTTCATTAGAAAAGAATTTTTGAAAGCTCAGAAAACATAAGTACAAATATTTCTCAAGGCATTTGTTTGGAAATAAGCGGATCCATTTTCACCTGGTCATTATGTATGATGTCATAAATAGAAGACACCTTTGTGAGCAAAACAGTGACCTGTAGTTTTATTTTCTTGTATTACTTGCATCCAACTAAGCATCGATATCCTAAGGAAAATGAAGGCAGAACTGCCTGACCCTTGACTCTTCTTTCTGCTTCTCCATACCTCAACAGACTCTCCCTTCTCCAAAACCGTGGAGGAACACTGGAGGGACCATCACCTCATCAATATGTTGATCTATATTAGCTTTGAAAAAACTGTACTGCTATTGATATGCTTGCTGGTGGGCTGGGTATGAAAAAATGGTTTCTGTCTTCACTTTCTTCAGCACTTAGTAGCTAGTCACTAGGACTCTGATCTCACACAAAGCAAAGCATTGCTCAGTGACTCCCAGTCGTGATTCCATTCCATTCCTGTTCTCTGGGTTGAACATAACCTATGGGTACTATGCTTTAGGTTTAACTTATCCTTGAGACATATTTGAAAATGTAGTAGATGTCTAAGGTAACCTCCAGATCCCAGAGAAATCCAGAAGACAGCCCTGCAGAAGGAGAGGGGACAGCATCCGCATAGGCAGTTTTATGGCTTGGGTCATTCGGTCAAGTGTCAAAGTTACTGCTGCTCTTTCTTCCTTTATGTTTAATCTCCTTCTCTCTGGATGATCAAAGAGAAGGAGAAGATTCTTAACTTTTGAAGCTTTGGGAACATTCTAACTTTTCCATAAATTTCAGTGGATTAAGGACTCTCTTAGGTTCCTGAAATCTACAGTTTAAAAAACTCTGATAAATTAAAATAAATAATTGCAAAATACAATTTTACTTTGTTGCTGTAACTTACATTGGCTCTATTTTTAGATGAGAGGAAGCTCATGGAGACTTTAACACCCTTATTTTATAGAGGAGGAAAGGAGAGGCCTTAAAACTTAAAGAGCTCTGGTCCTCCTACAGAGCTCTCCAATGTGACCAAGGCAAATCCTTGCCTCTGTAACTTGAAGAAAGCTATTTTGGGTATGTACTGCATACCTAGAAAACATATCACCTGGGCACCAGGTTTTGTAAACAAATATAAGAACTTATAGTGAAAATGTCAGCAGCTACATGTCTGACCCTTTCCTTAAGAAAACTCCCTGAGTTCTCTGAGGAATATCTCACTGCCTCTCTGGGTTAAACCCATCCTGTGGGAACCATGTCCCTTGTTTGCTCCTTGCTCAGAACTGCTCTGAGGGCAACTGCACATGTTAGGGAGCCAGGTGGGTCAGGAACGTGACTTGCTTCCTCTTCTTAGCTAATTATCCAGAATGAGCTGTTCTCTCTCACTCTATGGGTTAATGTCAGGGTGGGGGTTTGTTGCTACTTTAGCAAATTACAATTCTCCCTCACAAACCTATCCACATAACTTCCTTCCTATTAGACTCCAAAGTTTTTCTCAAAAAAAAAAATCTTGGGCAGAAAAAGAAGATAGTTTAAGGTCCATCCCTTTACTCTGGATAATAGGTTCAAGATCATTTACCTTAAGGTCCTAGAGAAGTCAATTGCTAACCCTTCACCTACTCAAGTTTTCAGGTAAAAGTTGAGGCATACTAGTATCATACCTGCTTTACATGCCCAACACACACACATCAGAATAAGCTAAACAGCCCATCCTCTGATCCAGAAATGTGTACTAAAGTCCTGGTTCTCTTCACCAGTAGTGGGAATGTGAGCAGATTATTTATTCATAGTGACATTCAGTAGCCTCAACTTTATTTTTTAGTTTTTTAAATCTTGAACATTCATTTATTTCTCAGGGTAGTCCTGGAAGGATTGTTAGAAATTTCCCTCAAAAGTTTAATCAACTTTTAATCTTTTTTTTTTACTCAAATTCTTTTATTGGTACATTTTAGGTATACAACATGTTACATTTATCATTGGGTGGTTGTACCTGTACATGATGTATCTTGGTTCTTATTTTTTCCCCATTACCTGTGCGCCCTTCACCCCCTTCCCCCTTCCCTATTTACAAAGACTTTGCTTCCATTTTTTTCTTTTCTCACAATTTTTGCTTTCCCTTCTTACCTTTCCCCTTCCCCTCCCTCTTCCCCTACCCTTTTGGACCTTTTCTTCCTAGGAAGAAAAATAGCCTCACTTTAAAAGGCTGAAAAAAAATCCTTACAATATTGTTATAAAGATTAAATAAGACAACATTTACTGTAGGTTCCTCTGAAAAAGGTTAAGAAAAAGAGTGTTGTATATTATTACTGTTTGTATGAGTTAGCCAGAGATAAGTTACTAGAAATTAGCTGATTGGGATTTGAATCAATTGTCACATGACCCTGAAACCTACTGTTGATTCAAGTGTGATTTTTAACCCTCAAAGAAGAAAGGAAAGCCTCAGAGTCTGAGGGAAGTGATTTTCTGCCCCATCAAAGTTTGTCTCCACATGATATGTAACAGAACACATGGGTGGTTGATTCTAATAGGTTTGTCCATTCCACCTGAACAGCTATATTAAAAATACTATTTATGGTCAATCACCCTCACTCTCACCTGAACAAAAAAGCTTGGCTTTATGTTGCAACAGCATAAACAGCAGGTCTGACCCTGCTTTTGCTGATTAGTGCTCAGCTTCTATTGTGTGCAAACTAATACTAGGATGCTGAGGTTTACAACACCCAAATTTCTCAATTCATGCTCTGTGTCATAAGACTTTTCCCTGCAGTAGCAATTCAATGAGTGGCTCTACCCACAACTACATACAATCACGAGGGATGTAACCTAGGGATGATTATGTGCAAATCATTATTCTGGGAGCTGTACATAGATGAAGATGAAGATGATGATGATGATGATGATGATATGACAATGACAATGACAACTTCCATTTATGGGAGAGGCATTGAGGCAAAGAGGCTGAACTTCAGGCTATCTGGATCTAGAGTCTAAGATTTCAATGACAGTTATTAACTTTTTAACAAGTATCAGGACAAATTAAATCAGGGCTTAAATAACACCAATCTTGGGCATTATTGGTAGATTATTTTTCTATGAATACAAAACTAACCAATTACTACTTAACTAACCATGTGATTATTTTACAAGAAAGTTGTCTGCGAAGAAAAGTCATAACTTTTTTTGTTTTGTTTTTTGTGGGGTCTTTTGGTACAGGGGATCGAACTCAGGTCCTTGTGTTTGCGAGGCAGGCAGCGGAACCACTGAGCTAAATCCCCGGCCCGGAAAAGTCATAACTTTTAATTAGCTCTTAGAAGATAGCTAAAAGTAATGATGAAGAGAGTAGAAAGAAATGACTAAGAAAGAAAGGGCAATTCCATTTTCTAACAAAATTGAGAATAATGTTTTTACCTGTGAAGTAGAATCTCACGGATTCTGGGAGATCTGAAAGAGTAAGTGAGAAAATCAGTATGCTGAACGTTTTGGGATCAGAGTATGAGGTAGAAGGTGCAAACTATGGAATCGAGGTTAGGAAAGCAAAAGATATTTTAATTTAAATTATTTGGGTATAAGGAACAGTAGGTCATTTGCTGATGTTATGCTGAATTTAATAATGCTAGCAATAATTTTAAATAGCAAAAGGAACCACATAGTGGAATAACTTTATATCACAGCAGCTAAGAGTGATTTATAATACATTCATTCAGACCCTGTTTTATCAGTACATAGGCTCCTACAAATTGGTGAACGTGGATGAGGTTGTATATCACGACAGCGCTCTAGGGTGGGTCAATGCCATTATAGCACTGAGTGATGGCTGGGATATTGATTTACACACAGGAACTGTGTGAGGGATTTATCTTGCGGCATTTATCCCATAAGTTATACAGAACAGGGCTCTTCTCTCTCAAAAGAGACTCTAGGAACTAAGATGAGTGTAGCAGATCTGGACATTACTTCAACCATGGCTGACATGTTTTCTTTGCCTCTAATCTCAGGATATCCTTGGAATTTCTTGTAAAGTAGGTCTGGTAAAGTAGGGGATAGAGCATCATGAACATTTTCACGGGCTATTAGTTACCCAGTTAGTAAACACTAGGGACACTCCTCAGAGGAGGGGGCTTTTCCTGCCCTTCGAGACTTTCAATCTAGTTGAGGAGTTAATTAGTTTCTGGATGAATGAACTTAAATAACGGTAACTATGTAATAAGTTTACCATAATAAAAAAATTCTAAAATTATTTAACCTATCATCATAAGAATTTCTAAAATTATTTAACCCATAAGAAGTTCTCAGCTCTTCTGTATGAATAAATCTACAATGTAAAATAATACTCTACATTCATTGTATTATATGGTGCATACATCCTAAAGGTCATATAGAAAGAGGTTTCAGGATTTTCAGGATCAGTCAAAGGCAGAGACATATTTAGAGGTAAGGACTCACAGCTCCAGCTAGCTTTGCTAACTGGATCAAGGAAAGAGACAAAAGGATGAGGTTTAAGGCTATCATGGTTTTGTGGAAGGACATACACTGGCTTCAATGAGAAATATTTTTCCACCCAATCTGTCCTGTCAAGTCTGGCTGTTAATCCCAATAAGTCACCCTCATTATGCATCCTCCAGAACACCTCCCTGAAGTCCTGCAGGGCCCCTGTGCTGACCCCCATCCCCCAATCACATGCCCATCTACCCGGTGGCAGTCAAAGAGCTCTTTCTAAAAGCTGCCCACTGGGTTTTAACACCTGTGCGGCTCCTCTTGTTCTACAGAGACCCAAATCCTGAGAGGCCCGAAGGATTCAGAGGTCTGCCCTGTCTTCCACAAGGCTTGTCATCCCTGCCCTGCTCCACATCACAGACACACTGCCTCCCTCAAGCTTTGGACATCTCCTTCCTCAAAGCCTCTGCATGTGGGGTTTATACCCTTTCTTCAGGAATGCTTTCCCCACTGACCCTACATACCCCCATAGCCTTGGTAGCTTCCATCTATCCAGTATTGTGATACTCGGAGCAGGACCTTCGTCCTCAGTTTAAGTCAGCTTTGCTGTGTGTCCTTCTGCCACGGAGCATTCTGCTGCCTTTTCAGAGCTCCCAGTGCAGTGTGCAATTAAAGATTCAAAACTGGGGTTAATTATCCCCATACCTACATCCCAAATGGGGAAAGAGCACAATCCACACCCTCTTTGCTCAGCAGTTACAAGGTGTGATCAAAATATATTTGAGTGTTTAAATTTTAAAAAAATTTAAAGATATAAAGATAATATTGCCATCCATCTGCCTCAAAATACTACACCCTTGCTTTGAACACACTTATCCCATCATCCTTCCCAATTTCTGAAGCAGTTCTGCAAGTTCTCTTTCATGAGTGTTTTTACAAGTTATGATCAAAAATACAGTAAGTGCTGGGACTGAGTGCCATCCAATGGAAAGGCAAATTCGTAAAAACATTATTATTATGTATCTTCATCTACCTTATTCACTGGGTCTGGCACTATGAAACTTCTGGCTCTTCTCCAAAGTCAAAATGACCATAAAAGGTAAATGTTTTGGGATTGATTCAGGACATCAAATCAGCCATGACCACAACTGCTTTAGAAAGTGGCAAGAATGACAGGATAGGTGTGTTCGATGAGACGGGGAGTATTTTGAGGGAAACTAATGGCAATGTGTCTTTTACTTTGTTAAATGTTTAAAGAAATTTAAACCTTTATCATATTTTTCCAGCACACATCATATCACCAAGCTCCACTCAACTCAGTTGCTGGCACATAGGAGCCACAAAATAAGTTTACTGCAGTATATCTATGTGCATGAATTATTGGGAAAAAGAGGGAACTATTCGCCACATATTGGGAAATAGGGCACAAGCTCTTTTGAGTAGCTTTAAAGCAGTGTCAGCAAGCTGTGTAAAGGACTTGTGGGACGAGTCAGGTGAGCCATGAAGATGCAGAGCGCAATCTGGGTGCACAAGGCAGGGTAGAGAGCGTTACCAGCAAAGGAGAAGGCCATGATCTCTTGGAGATGCGGTGCTGCTGAGGGAGGCCGGTACAGGACTTTGCCCTGGTTAATGTCTTCCTGTGTGAAATACCGGATGGGAGAGAGAGGCCGGTCCCTGTGCTCGATGACACCTGAGGAGGAAGAGATGGGCAGGAGCATCAGCAGTCACTCTCAAGGCCTGCCTGCTCCCTGTGGGAGTCTTGTACCCTTCTACTGAGAGAGAGGCAAACACTCAGTCTGTCCTTGGAGAGCTGTTCTCTAAATCTAAAACCCAGAGAGGCTTGACTTGGGTTCATGGAACACCAGCCATGTAAGATGAAAACAAATGCCCTCAATGTAGCTTAGACCATGAAGTTTTCAGTGTAACTATGAGACCCTTCCAGATGAGTTTCAGTGCAGAAGTCAAGGTCTCTGAGAGACTAGTACTAACTGGTCTTCTAATGCTGGTTAAAGAGATTTTTTCTCAATTTGCCTTCTTTTCTTCAGAAACCCCTTAATATCTGTGATGATCTGTCAACAATAAAATGGATTCAATATTCTAAGAACTGGATTTGTGGTTATCACTTGGCTTGTGATCAACATTTTGGGGGCTGCAGATTTGCCTGTTACTCATAAATTTTGCAATACAGAACTGATGTTGCAATACTCTTTCATGTCCCATTTATTCTTTCTTCCTCTTCTTCTTGTCAGAACTGGGGATTAAACCCAGGGCCTTCATACTGAGCTACATCCCCAGACCTTTTCTAACTTTTTATTTTGAGACAGTGTCTCACTAAGTCGCAAAGTCTCCCAGGCTGGGCTTGAACCTGAGATGCTCCTGGCCTCAGCTTTCCAGAGTGCTGGGATTGCAAGCATGTGTCACCACACCCAGCTCCACTCATTCTTTTAAAAAGGGACATGTGTGAGGCTTTGTGTTGAATCAGTTCACCTTTGGAGAGGCTGAGAGACCAACAGCCACACTCCACAGAATAGCCTGGGCTGCTGGTCTGAAAGAACTCACAATGGAGGAAGAACCTCCATCTGCAAATTGGCAGCCTGAAAAAGGAAAGATGCCTTTTAGGCTTTACATTTCTTTGGTCTTTATCAAGGGCCAGTGCTGGTCTAGGAGTGAGGTCTCATGGCAGGTGCAGAATGGTATCCACAGAAGCTGATCTCCTTTCTGCAACTGACATCATCCTATTAATGAAGCCCAATGTTAAGAGACCTAATGGCTGGGGACTCAGGGGTCCACCACATTTCCTTGTTCCCCATGGGAGCAGGAGTGATTTATCCACTGCAGAAAGAAGGAATATGTATGGCTAGTCCCTTTGGCTCTGGCAGACCTCCTTGTCAGCACCTGCTTATTTTGGTCACAACCTTATAGGGGCAGCTCTGTCCCTGTAGACCATCTCCATGTGTATCTGGCTCTACCAGTGATGTTAGAGGGTGCTTACTCCAGCAGTGCTGTATTCTCTAGTGCAGCTCTGTTTATGCCAAAGCTAACAAAGTCTTCTCTGCCCATTCATCTCTATTTGTTCTAAGCTAGAGGACAGGAGCATGGGGTAGCAATCATTCTTATTCCTTAAAACCTTAACAAGTATCTCTACATATATAAGCACCCAAACCTCCTGTTTTAAAGACGAGTCCAACTAAATGACTATAGTTCACTGGAAAGATCACTCCCCACCCATCTTACCTTGATTTGGGTGCAGAGGTAGAGTGATATTGTATATAATCTTCCCATTGGGCTTCTCAGTGTGCACAAAAGACAGGGAATGAGGCTGAATGACTGTCAGACCATCTTCCCGAGCCTAAATTTAGAAAGGAAGAAGACAAAACGGTGTGGTGAAAACCAGATCCAGAGGCAAAAACAAATCTTAGTAAGATAACCAAAATACATTCACTCCAGGATTTTAAATTAGTCACAGTTAACAAAATTTTAGCAAGAGTTCAAAAGAAGGATTGAATCTTTTGTGAGCAGATTGGTCCCAGTCTCGGGAACCGCTCAGGGTCACAGAGGCTTTTTCAAGGTTTCTGTACACCCTGCCCCCTGGTCCACATCTCTGCATGCTGTGGGGTCCCAATGTGATTCCTTTCTCCCCAGGTAGAACTTGCAATGGAACACAGAAATGAAGCACCACAGCTGGCTATTCTAGTATTCACAGCTGGCTCACCACCATGTCTCTGCTCCTTTTAATTTGATTGGCTAAAAAGGTTGAATCTGATAAGATCTGAAGGATAAATCTTGGTCCCAAAGGTTCTTCAGAGTATTACCTCCAACCTCCAGCTTTGCTAATGGGGACTGTGATGCTTTCTACTTTCTAAGGGCTAAAAATGAACCCACCCACTTTAAACCCCAAGAGAGGCCTGCCTTTCGCATTCAGGGGTTTGAGAGCTATTTGTTGATTTAGGCACTTGAAAATAGACAGTATGTCTCTCTGCCTTCATTCTACTATTCATCAAAACTAGACACTGCTTTTCTCTTCTGGCTTCCAGGAGCCAGTGAATGAGTCCAGCAATTTGGACCAGAAGGGGGAATGTTCCTTGCTTTCACCAACCATTCACCTGTGCACACCTACTACCCACCAACAGGAGAACACTCAAAAACAACAAAGGAAAGGGTCAGACTCCCATGACTCCAATGCCCAGTGGGTTAGGGACAGCAGTAGTAAAAATACAGCATGGAAAGAAGAAAAATTAGCCTGAGCATGGGCCTTTACTTGGGTCATGCATGGTGTTTTAAAACTGAATAAGATATCCTGCCTGTTGTAGGCTCTTCCTAACTGATGACCCCTGACAGTAGCTTTGAATTTGACATGCTCTCCTGCTCTTTTGAAGCTCTGCCTCTTTTCAGAAAGAATTTCCCCATTTAGACAAGGATTAAGTGGGGTTCAGTAATGCTCCCAGAGGAGGGTGTGGTGTTCTTCATTTTAATCATAAAAAGACTGAAGGTTGCACTTGCTCTGTAATTGTCCCCAAGGCATACTTGTCCTGGGGAGAGGCAGTGTTTGCAGGTTAGGACAACCCCCCAGTAGGAAAGTGTTGTATTTCAGGCCCTCACTCAGATCTGGAATGCAATGAGCAAGGAAAATTAGAACTGCGAAGAGCAGCTGGTCTCTCACCCTAAAATAAAACAAGTAAGGACTACAAGTTAAAAACATGCACCCAATATAAGGTATTTACAACCCACTCAGGTATGTAGGCGCAGGTGGGCACAGGTACAGGGACATAGAAGTACAGACTCAGTGCAGTTCCGTGCCGTTTATCACCTTCTAATCTCAAAACCCCCAGAATAACTGAAAATGCTCAGTGTCGTGGAACGCTTTTGAAAATTTAGATGTTCCTAGAATAACACGATAAGATGAGAGAATGAACATGGAATAGGACTGTGGGTGGGGATATGTCCCAGTCAAGACACAGACATTCTATTTCGGGACTTGTGGACACCATTTCTGTATTAATGTAAATAGACAGTAGGCAAAAAAAATAAGGATCTGATTCTCTGAGGAAAGCAATACTGAGATAGAGATATCAAAGTGTAATCCATTTTTATATTGGTGACTTAGAATGTTCAATATTTATCAATTAAACGTAGTATAAAATGAGACATTAAACTTCATGGAAATCATTACAGAACACATTTTTATCACATCTTTGTTAACAAAAGAAAATTACAGAATAATGACTTTTATAATACTCACATTACCTCTGAATATACCCTGAATCCATACCCTTCTCCCAACCTCTCCACTGATACCACTCTGCTGGGAGCTGGTCACTCAGAGTCCCCACTATGGTCTCTGCACACTCTCATCTCCCAGGCAGTCCATCTGGGCAGACATTAGGACTCACACTAGGCCTCTGCTCAGCACCCTGCGATGGCTTTTCTTGCAGAATAAAAGCCAAGTGCTTATCATGGTCTCTGGGGCTCTACATGAAGTGCACTCCACCACACACTGACCACATCTGTGAGGTCACATTCATTACCCTCCCTTTCATTCCCTGTGCTCCCAGGACACCCTCTATGAGCCGATCATAAATTAAGGTTGTCATGCCTCTCTCTCCATATTCCTGACTCAATGAATGGCATCTCTATATTTTCAATCTCAGTTCCTCTTTTTCTCTCTCTTTCCTCTCCCATATTAACCATTTTCAAATACAGTACAGTAATGCCATGCACATTGTTGTACATCAGATTTATACAACTTTTCTTGCAAAACTGAAACTCTATATCCATTTAACAATCATAAAAGATTGTCTTTTTCGTAACTAGCTTATTTCACTTAATATAGTGCCCTCAAGGTTCATTTATGTTGTACATAGAGACAAGATTTCCTCCTTTTTTAGACCAAATAATTCTCTACTGTACAACCATATATGCATGTATGTATGCATATATGCATATATATCACATACATATAATCACATATATACGCACATATATATATATCACATCTTCTTTGTCCATTTAACTGTTGATGAACATTTAAATTGCTTCTACCTTTTGGCTATTGACAGGGATGTGCAAGTATCTCCTCAAGATCTCCCTGACCTTTAACCCTTATTGCCACTACATGGGCTTCATGCCACCAACCTTTCTTGTTTTAGGTGACAGCAACAGCCTATTTGCTTCTGGTGTACCCCCAATCCAGAATGTTCTCTACCTTCAGCCAGAATGATTTTCCTAGTCTGGTCATTAAAAATCTGTTCATGGCATTTTTCTGCTTTAAATCTTTCAACAGTCAACTTGCCCAACAGTATTTTAGAACAAAATGGAAATTCCATTTTATCTTTAAGATTCTCCATGACCTCGCTGTCATTTCTTGCTACCTTTATATGTAGGGATTTATAATCCAGCCAACTGAGTGGCTGGCCTGTAATTCCTCAAGGAGGCCATGCTCTTAGGTGTCTCCATGGGTTTCTTCTCTTGTCCGGGATGAATTTCCCCAGTTTTAGTCTAGATCAGTGCTCCTTTGAGGGTGATGATCTCAGCAGCTATCAGTACCACTTGAGAACTTACATAAATCTAGATTCTTGGTTCCACACCACACCCACTAAACTAGAAAATCATGGGGTTGGTTCTAATTATCTATATCTTAATAAATTCTATAGGTGACTAATACAGGATTAAGTTTGAGTTCTTGAGAACCCTGATCTCCTACTTTTATATACATATATGAGTATGCCCTATATGTATTTACTACAGCTAGTCATAATGTAGTTACCAAATATATGCAAAACGTGTGTGCTCAGATGAGTACAAATCACTGAATTGAGAATATGTTTTTGTTTAGAGTAGCGGATCTAGTTAACGTCAAAAGAAATATAAACTTTGTACGTTGTAAGGTCCACAAAAGGAAGTTCAACACAATTTATAGTAAACCAATTGTTTAGATAGCCTAAATTTTAACAGGACAGACCTAATTTGCAAACATACAATCTAAGAACAACTTGAAAAGTTCCTTAAGAAGTCCACAGCAAGGTGGCAGAAAGGCACTACCTTCTTGGCTCCTGGCCCCTTTTTATTCCCTCTAAACTCAAATATAGCACTGATTAACATTTGGCAAGAAATGTGTGTGCACACTGTTATTTACAGTTCAGAAAAAGCTCGGATCTGAATTCCTCCAGTCAGAATGATGAACTATAGACTTTACAATGCTGCTGAATTATGATTTCTTTAAATTATAGTTTATGGTGGAAATGCCGATACCAGCTATTCATTGAAAACTTTCTATTTTCCCCTTTATGTCTCTGTCATGCCCCAGACCAGTAATTTCTGAATCCATTGTTGGTCTCTTTGTTGTGGTTTAAGGTTGATATTCTACTTTGGAGTATAATTACGTGGGTGCAAACAACAACACAGATCTGTAATAATTAATTTACAAGGGCTTGCAAGCTTGTGGCTCTGCCTGGGAGAGCAGCTCTGAAATCCCACCTCCCATAGACACACAGTCACAGTGGAGTTGCTAATTCTCTGAACTGTACTTCATAGGCTAATTTAGGTGACACTGTTCTTCAGATTGCCTGGAGTCATGGTCCTTCCCACTCAGCACAGGAGCCTCTGTGACTGAGCATCATGGACCTCCACATCCCCATCCTGCCTCCTTTGGTACCTTCCTTATTTCTACAGTGCCTTGTACTGTAGGCAATTTCCTGACTGTCATAGTCTCCCTAAACTGCGGGCCTCTCCTGTGCTCTCTGCATCTGCAAAACTGCCCTTTGCCATCACCTCTCCATGCCACCCAACTGTCCTCCTAATTTGCACTTGGATGACCAATTTCTCTATCTCTACAGACATAGCACTGTCATCATGTCCAAGAAGCTATTACAGTATAAGGGGAGCTTCTGATAGGGCTTTTCAAAAATGAGTAACACTTTCTCCAGCCAGGTAATGCTGTGACTGGCTGAACAATTACACACAAGTTATGTTGATGGCATGGAGGAGAGCTTGAAATTTCTTCCAAATACTCAATAACTGGGATGCTGTAGAAAGGACATCGGCCATGGATGGAAGGTCAAAATAGATGCCACATAATCTTCCCTTCACCCTGAGAATTTTAGGATTCTTTTGCAAGTCAGTGAGAAACGTGCTTACTACTGTTTTTGCCCCTGGGATCTGTACACCGGGGCAAGCATTCACTGCATGCAAACCAGGACACTTCATCAAAACCATCAAAGTGGAAGCCACAAGTCTCCCATCCAACTCACGGTCATATGGAGAGATGTTCCCAGAGAGCGTTTAGGTGCCTCAGGGGTCTGTGGTAAGATCGCAATGTTGAATACACGGCTCTCCAGGTGGGTCTGAGTGTCGGTGGCTCTGGACACCTGAAAAGCAAAGTTGCCTGGTGAGCCGCTCATGTCTGCTGGGTGGAGCATGTTTGCAGGTGTTTTTGCTTTTCCCCCTTTTAAATTATCTGTCTTTAATCTATACACTCCCTTTTTCTTGAAATAAGATCTTACTATGTAGTCCAGGCTGGGCTGGAATTCACTATGTAGCTCAGGCCTCAGACTTGAGATACTCTTGGCTCAGCCTCCTGAGTGCTGAGATGATAGGTGTGAGCCATCATACCTGGCTCTAATCTATACATTCTTGCATTACAACTTTTGTTCTGCTCTTTATATTTTTATATTAATCGTTTACTGATTATAAAAAAGAAGCATAACCATTTCAGGCAATTTTGAAAATGTAGAAAAGTATAAATAAAAAAATCACACATAATTTTACTATCAGGAAAGAGTGGTTATTAATATATTGGTTCACTTTGGTTTTGGTTCATTTTGGTTTATTCTTTTTTCTACATAGACATATCTCAATTTACATGCAATTGCATAGTCTAAACTTCTACTTAACAATACTATGACATTTTCTTGTTTCATTAGGCATTCTTAAAAACATTCTCTGAAGGCTACATAATGTGTTACGGGCATATAACATATGATTTGTATTCCATTCCATACATCTTTACTCAGCATAGATCTCTAGGCTCTAAATGACAGTTCTCAGCTTCATTATTGCAGAACAAGATTAATAACATTTACAGTTAGCACAATGGTCACAACATTAACTTTCTCTTCCTTCAAAAATATTGAAAAACGATTTTCCTAGGCAGCTTCTCACTCCCTCTCAAACCTACTCAGTGCTGCCTTGAATTCTCCTTGTCTCAACTATCTGCTTCACCTTCATCTTATCACAAGAACTGCTAAGCCTGTGTGGCCACCTGCAGTTGTGTGAATTGCAGATGACAGGAAGCAGGTCTTGCAAATTCTGGGTCAGAAAGTAGGAAGAGCAGTCACATCCAACAGAAAAACTGTCTTTTCTGTCTCTATCTGGATCACATCAGAGGCCTGGGGTTACATCTCATAATTTTTACATGCTTTCCAGGAGGCATAGTATTGCTATAAATAATATTAATAGCCATACCTATAATTTGCTGATCACTTAGTGTGGGCTCAGCATTGTACTGGCTGGTTTTCAGAGGTTATCTTCTTATTACCCACAAAGTAATATTATTATCCCCTTTTTAGATGAGAAAACTGAAGGTCAAAATATTAAAGCAATATGTCAAAGTCACAAAGCCAATAAGTGGGGTTATTTAACCAGGTCAGTCAGGTTCATAATCTTTCTACTGACCAAGATGACTCACTTTGGTAGCTTTAGAAAATTAGGAAAAGGGGGAACATTTTCTTATATCCTTAAAGAAAAGCAACTGAGTATTGGGCAGGTAGTAAAATGTGAGCATATTATTGAACAAATGAATTAGTCTGGTATCTCAGGAAAGAAGTGGACAGTGAAATATGTTGGTCTTTTCCAAAGCATGTCCCCTGAAGCAATACCAATGGGATCTGAATATGGCAAAACAATGCCACTTCCCACTCCAAAAATGACTGAATGTGCATGCTTTCTTCTCACTAGATCATCTCTATTTTAAAATGCCACTCACACTCAATAAACCCCAAGTCCTACGTGCAAAGTAACAGATGGGAGGCACTGATGGCTTATGACAGCTCATCAACATTAAAATGAAATTAAATCTATGCAAATCATTATATGTCCTGCTTTAAAGGGGGAAAAAGGAAAGAAAAAAGAATCATTGGTACAGCACTCTTTTTTTTTAGTTTAAAATCCTTTAGGAACACTAAAATGATAAATGGAAAAAGTTGCTAACCACTTTTTATCACATGGCTATAGCGTCTTGTGCATTTCAAATCAAAATATGAGGTAAGCCTATAAAACAATGAGATTTAAGAACAAACACACCAAAACTTTTATGTCCAGAAGAACATAATCCCAGAGAGTTGTTTCATACTTGCAATAAAGATTCTGTCAATGTTCAAAATACATTTTTCTGGAATGCCTGCAGAGGAAGTCCACAAATCATATAAGAAAGCTGAGTTCATTACTTCATAATTACTCCCTATCTGAACCAAAAATATTTAGCATGCTTTTTCTTACCAGACTGATTCTGAATGACTTGTGGCTATTTTGATATATTCTAAAATCCATTTCCAAAAATGCTGCCACTATCAAGGACATTTTAAAGAATAGCCCATATACTTTGAAAATAATTTCAATTGAAAGTTCCAAATATTTTGAAAAAAAAAAAAAAGACTTTCCAAAAGGATCCACTTTTAAATAATAGACATCCTTAGATGTCTTAAACACCGGTGAAATCAGGTAACTTTTACTATCTTATTTATTTTATTTTATCCACTTATAAGCTACTTGCAAAGCAATCAAAGCAATCATTTTAAACAGGTTCTCAAAATCCCCTTCTGGGGAAACGCTGCATATCGATACCATTTTCTGTCCTGACTCCTGAGAAGGAAAAGGCAGATCTGCAAATTCTAGTTTGCTGAGGTGACTTCTTTTGATTGAGGTCTCTGCCTCTGTTTGGACTCATTCTTTGATGACAGCTGCAGTCCCCAGGTGCTAAAAATGGGAGGTTAACTCTGGCAAAGGGCACACAGAATTTGCTCACTGGTTGGACATTCGATGTGCTCAGTATAATCTCATTTTAATGGTTTCCAAATTTATCCCACCCTGCTCTTTGGAAAAGCACATCTTTTATTCAATATAAATTAGGCAAGGAAGATGTACTTGCCAGGTATCAGAAGACAAATGGATGAAAATTTTAACAAGGTGAGCTACCTTGGCTAGTTTATTCCCAGTTGGATTCCTAGACAAAGGAAAAGCCTCAGATCTCAAGGGAATCACTGTGAATATCTCTGACACTTCACCAAATTCTTCTCTGTATCCTCACTTAAACATTCTTTCTTACTCAAAACTCTTCGTTCCTTTGTGTATTGTTTTAATTCTTTATTTCCAAGTTGTGCTTGCCAGGGGTTTGTCTAATTTTATTGGTCTTAAGAAATCACGCATAACTCTCATTTATTATTTCTCACACTTTATTAATCAATTCCTCCCCTTATCTCTATTAATTCCTTCCTTAGGTTTCCCTAGCTTCTTCACCATCTACTTGATGGCTCAATAATAAAAGCTGCCACCAATTTGCTTCTGCATAGAATTTTGTCCATATCATTTAAGTTTTGATAAGTTATTTCTTCCTCATTAATACCTCTTTTTCTTTTTTCATCAATACTTCTTAATAGCTTACTGTTTTTTGGGGTTTTTTTTTTTGGTACTGGGGATTGAACTCAGGACCTTGCACTTTCGAGGCAGGTGCTGGAACCACTGAGCTAAATCCCCGGCTATAGCTTACAGTTTTGATTTCCTTTAAGACCTAGTATTTAGGAGACCATTTTAAATATTCCAAGGAGTCTAAATTTTTTGTTTATCTTTTTATTAGTAATTTCTAACTATATTCATAATGGCAAGAGAATGTACCCAGTATAATTTCCTTTTCCTTAGTTTATTGCAGGTCTCCTTATGGTCTAATATTTCATCTGTTTTATAAATGGTCATAACAAACCCTTATGCAGTGCTTAGTATTTGATATGCAACATTCTAAACATTTTATATGTCTTAGCTCAAATCCTCAGAACAATTCTAATTCACAGGTGAGGAAATTCAGGTGCAAAGATGTTGCCAAGCAACTTTCTAACAAGTGGACATACTGAGTTTCACGGTAAGTCCATGATCTTATCCTAAGATGATGAATGTTCCAAGAACAATTTTAAAAGATTATTTTGTCTATTTTTAATATTTTGAGTATTTTTTCTGAAAATTTTGGTCATTATTTAATATAAACCTTTTTGTCTGGATGATTCTTCCTTGTGGAGAGATCCGTTTATCTGAATTGACGGATTTTTAAAAGTTCTTTAAGGTTATTAATTGCATTTTTCTTCCCATTGACCAGATTCCCAGGCAATCACAGAAAATTGCCCAAACTGTTTACAAATAAGAGTGATGGCTTTTATCAGACTTCAGAGAACGTAAGGAGCACATAGTACCTGGAAGCGGAAGGAGTCGCTCTGGGCCAGGGCCCCCGAATGTCTGTACCACACGATGCCATCATTGACATCCTGCTGGGTGAAGGAGCTGGTCAGGGTTGCTGTCCTCCCATCTGGCAGGTGCTGCCCTTCATCCCCAGGACTGTCTGCTGGCAGGCTCACCAGAAGGACCACCTCCCCTAGGGATGCACAGGTCACATGGTCAGTGAGGGTCTCTTGGGAAAGAAAGTCAGAACTTGCTCCTCCTTTCCTATTTAGTTAAGCTGAAAAGAAATGATGCACTGCTATAATTTTCACCCAAGGTGAAGAAAAGGATGTAAACACAAAACTCAAAAGTTATCACTAAATCTACCTTTAGATACAGAATTCCCAGTCTTTCAGCTAAAAGAACCAAAAGTCATTCAAGGGCAATTCAGGTATAAAATTGTTGACTTGTACCTATTACAATTACATGAGAAGATCTATATGCTGGAGTATGCTATAAAGAAATACTCACACCGAATGGTTTCAATTCTACACACAACTTGCTATGTAACAGAAAATGTTTTCTAACCGGGAAAATGGTTAGAAACATGGAAAATTAGAAGAAAAAATTCAGTGAAAGTTATTCTTGGGAGGATTCTGTCCAATGAAAATATTAATACCTAACACCAGAAAACATTTGGCTGGCACTGCACTCCATGAGGTGGTTCCACCCGATTGCACTGCATCCCACTGCACCTACACTCTGTAAGGCTCTGCTCTTTGTTGGTAAAGAGAGACTAACACACAGTGAGCAACCCTAGTCTGAGAATCCCAAATCCAAAATGCTACAAGTTCCAAAACTTTTTGAACACCAACGTTATTCCATAATAGAAAACTCCACACCTGACCTCATATTATAAGGCCCCAATCAAAATGTGGACACATTAAAATATTGTATAAAATGACTTTCAGGCTATATGCACAAAGTGTATGAAACATAAATGAATTTCATGTCTAGACTTAGGAGTCATCCTCAGGATATCTCATTATGTATATGTAAATATTCCATAATCTGAGAAATTCAAAACACTTCTGGGTTTTTTTTTTTGTTTTTTTTTTTTTGGATAAGGGACATTCAACCTACAGGACATACTTTACAGGTTCTTAGAAAGAATGCTGGTCATCCTCAGTGTTACTTCTATATAATTCTTCTGATTGGTGCTGTCTCCACTGTACAGATGAGGTTCTTTAGGCTCAGAGTTCATTCACTTGTTGAGGTCACACAAGTGGAAGGTATGTGGGTGAGATTTGGATCTGAAGCTCATATTCTTGGTCCTGAGACTCTGTTACCAACTGTCATTATTTTGTGTACATTTATCACTATTTACCCTGCTAAACAACTTACCATGTTTCTTTCTCTTTCATTCTTTAAACTTTTTTGAACTGAAGCAAGGAAATTTTAATCTAAATACCACCCATCTGTTTTTACTGCTTTTTCTTTACCTGAAGCTACTACCATCTTAAAGTGAGATCACAAATATAGAGGTGTTAAAGAAACAATTAAAATTTCACAAGAATAATGTGCCTTCAAGTGAAGGCTAAATTGAAAATTGGATGAATAGCTGAGAACAAGCTATGCTGTATTTTTATGACAGTACATCTAACAATAAATCTAAAAGAAGCCACCCTATCATTATGGTAGAGGGATAGAGGAGTAGAGGTGAGTGAGAAAGAGACTGTGTCTATTTGTCTATTTTTAAAATGTTCTGAAGTTAAAATGTTCGAAGTTAAAATATCAGACATATTAGGGAATTGATGGCAATTTTTTTCAAAATTGATGGAGCATTTTGATTACCCTAGAGAAATTTGTTTTCTAACTCACAGCAAAAACTCCTTCCAATATTTACATGCACTTAATTCAAGTTAAAAATGAGCATAATGTCTTGGACGGTAATGAAATAGTGAAATAAGAGAAAAGTATCACTGCTCTTCTTTATATAATTATATATAGAATCAACTCACTATAGTTTTCTTCCTTATATTACTTTTCATTTATATCTAAGGCAAAAATTCCATTACCACTGTCTCCCAGTTCAAATTCTAGTCACAGGTGCTGTTAATAGAGATGGCTTCCCTGGGTGTGGGCTGTTTATGAATGTAAGTACAGTTGCAAAATAATCTAAAAGGAAATTCCCATGATGAAAATGTGAAGAATAGAAGATAAAAAAATATTCAGCTGCTGATTTTCTAGGTATTTTGCTTTATAACAGAAAAAGCAAAGCAGAAGACAGGCACAGTGGCACAATTCTATAATTCCAGCACTCTAAGAGGCTGAGGTAGGAGGATTCCGTGTTGGAGCCAAACTCAGGCAACCTAGCTACTTAGTAAGACCCTCTATCAAAACAAAAAACAATTACAAGTGGACTCAAGAATATAACTCAGCACAAAGGCCCTGGGTTCAATGCCCATATCAGAAAAAGAAAAAGAAAAACAATTTTCTATCAAGCCCTAATAAATATATTTTTCCCATAAAAATCACTTCCATGCTATGCAGATTAACAGGAATCACAGGCTATTGTCTAATTCCATTAATTTCAACTCAATAAATGGTCACTGAGTATCTACTTGGTGCTATTTACTGTTCTAGGCCCTTCAAGAGTAGGGGGATTAAAAGACAAACAATACAATTCCTATCCCTGAAGACCAGCTCCATAAGGAACTGGAAACTACCGGGAGATTCTCAGCAGGTGAATGTGTGATCAGAATACATAAAGTTTGTGAGGCCTGAAAGTACTGTTCAAGAGGCTAAATTTATTGTAAAAAATGATAACAACATCTGGGCATGATGCATATGGCTGTAATCTCAGCTACACTGCAGGAAAGCTGAGGTAAGCGGATTACAAGTTTGAGGCCCACCTGGGAAACTTAACTCAGTGCTCCCTGGGTTCAATCCCCAGTAGTAAGGGGAAAATCGGTAGCTAATATATACATAGATAGTCTGCCCAATTATGGTGCTACTGAAAAATCCAGACTAGAGATGGAGACGTGAGGTAAGACTAGAAAGAAATAAACAGATACAAATGTCACTGAGGAAACAGAAGTAATATAACTCCATCAAGGTGGCTGTGGAGAAAGAGGAAGGAGTCAAAGGGAATTATTTGTTAGGTTGGGTGACTGGATGCCACCAATGGGTGCGACAGAGGATGAGCCAGAAGGAGGTGGGGGGAGGAACTGTTCAATTCTGAATACACTGCATACAGCACCTTGGTGAAGCCCAGGAGTAGACAAGGAGACAGATCCGTACAGTATGGGGTTTACCACAAGGAGGTGAGAGGTAATCTTTTATGTAGTATCTCACTTCTGTTTTATTATAATATGACAAGGAAATGATACTTTAAATATATAAAATTCCAGATTGCAGAAACAGAAAATAATCTGTTTGTGATTTCCTTCATATAGAAGTTTATATTTTAGCCAAGAATTTTGAAGTGAAGATTTAATAGTTATTAAGAATTACAGTTTAATTTTAATTTCCTTGAATTCTGTTGGGATTGAGATAATTTCTATCTCTATTCACACTTTCTTGTACTATGATAAATAATTTAGATTTGGTAGTTTGGTAGACTGTCAGCCTTTCCCTCAAATGGTGCTCAAGATACCTCATTAAATCCACTCATTAAGTTTACCTTCAAATGTAAGGATAGCAAAGGGTACAAGTATTAATCAACTTGTATAAACATATACTTGAAAGCAATGGTGAGTCTGGAAGTGGTTGAATTTAGGTCCTTTATGTATATATTATACAAGTAATTTATATGTGGTTCCATTCCAAAGTCAGTTCTTCACAAAAAGCCTAAAGCCCAACTTGGACATTCTAGAGTAAGGTATGAGTCTGTAGTAGCAGGAGCCAGGGAGGGAAGGGCTCCACCGATGCACCTTATTAGGATAGATGGACATAAGTACATTCCTGTCATGTGGGCCTCTAGTTCCCACCACCTCATTCATGCTTGAATGGTTCCCAAGAGTGACATGATTTGATTATTACTAATGGGGCGATCTGGATACAGATCATGTTCGTGGGAAGAAGTTAATTAAGAGAATTGTAATAGGAAATGGTCACAATAAAGCCCACATGGAATTTACTAAGCTGAAATGACAAACTTCTATCTGCTTAAAAACCATTTATTTCAGTGTTGTTCTGTTTAATATTTAATGAAGTACTGGGCTGCTTCTATAAAATCTGGAGGTTTGATTTTTGTCTCAGTAATCAAAATACAGGTAGAGAATTTAATGCATCACAAGAGTCATAGATTTTTAGAGATGAAAAGAATTTAAAAGTTATTGAGCTTACAGTCAGTACTTGAAAGTATGATGAGAATGGGATACTAATTACAAATAGGAAAATAGTAAATTTACAGTGGAGATACCTGGCAGGTATCATGTGAACCAAGTGATCAAAGTTAACATCACCAATAATAAGACAGAGTGACAACTCTTTGTACTCCCAATATGATGCACTGAGAAAGTGGAAAAAAGCATATCCTTATTCTAATATGAGAAACACTCAGACAAGTCCAAATAGAGCAATGTTCTACAAATATCTGACCAGTTCTCTTCAAAATGCCATTAAGACAAAAACAAAGGAACCACTGCACCTTGGAGGAAGCGAAGGAACATGACTATTAGAAATGCAATCTGGGATTCTGGATTGGGTTGGAAAAACATTATTAGCAGGATGAGTGGCCAAATTTGAATGAGGTCTATGGATTAAATAGTGGTACTGGGTCAATGTCAATTTCTTGGTTATAATAATTGCTCTTTGTACTATTTTTACAACTTTTAAAGAAGTCTAAAATTACTTTAAAACAAAAATTTATAGCATCTACTTGACCTAATTTTTCAAAGAAACCAATGGCACCAGGAGGGTATGCTTTCCTTCCTCAAGGTTATACAGTTCTAAAAAGGGACATCTCAACTAGACTGTTTTATAATTAAAATATAAATTCTTGATTAGGTTATACTTTCTAACATCTTTTTGGCCACTGAAATTATTTTAACATTATCTAAAGTTAATTTTTTCCTCATTATAGAAAGTACATAATTTTAAAAATCTGATAGCCCAGAGGAAAAACAGATTATTCTTTCTGTGCTATTAATGTGTCAAAAGAGTTTTCACTTTTAATGATTATAACTTTCACTTTTAGATGATTAATTTAGGTATTTAAAAAAATCAGCCTAAGCCAGGTGATGTGGTGTTTGCCTTTAGTCCCAATATTGGGGAGGCTGAGGCAGGAGGATTATTTGAGGCCAGGAGTTTGAGAACAGCCAGGGCAACATAGCAAGTTTCTATTTTAAAAAATATTTAAATAACTTTCCTTTATTTTTTACAGCATTATAAAATTTCCTAGCAATTTAAATTCCTTCTGTAATATCTTTAAATTATTTAAAAACACTTATTTCATGTTTTTTGTAAGATTATTCCTTTACTTAAAAATCATGGGTTTTGATCCTCTTTTTTGTTTTGATTACAGTACTACAGTCTGACTCCTCCTATGTTCTGGCTTTTCTATTTTGTGCTCACCCTCAGTGGCTTTATCTGCGAGGCCCCTGTGTGGGTGAGTTGAGGCTGGGCCTCCCACAGAAGTTTCCACTAGCTTCTGCGGAACCCTAGAAGTACCACTGAGCTGAGATTACTGTTCATATAATGTCTCAGTTTTGTGGTTATGGAACAAGGCACTAAGTATAATTTAACCCAAGATCTGCCAGAGAAATAGGCACGAAGTTCTGGATTCTCAATAGTCTTTTTGCTCTACTGTGAACTCTGCTTAAGATGGGCAGGTTTTCCAGCTGTCTGTACTGGTGACCTTCTTTTTCTAAGTGAAAGAATGTCCCTCCAGAGTCCTGACTTTAGGCAGGATCTTCATTCCAACTCTCTGCTCACCTCAGCCCCCAGGTTATGGGGTACATACTACCTGCTCAGGGAAGCCATGCCACCCACTCAGCACAGACCAACCCTTGTGCTACCTCTTACAGCACCAAGAGATTTTTCTCTATCACTGGGAAGTCAGGTGTGAACATCTAATCATTCTTACTATATTTTATCCAGCAATTCTAGGTGATAAAAATGAAGAATTCCTTAGGTTGCTATATTCTTCTCTCTTACTAGAGGAAGTAACAATGGAGATCACTGAAGAATGCTCTTATGTAGTTTTGTTTTAAAGGTTCATCAAGAATTCTGATGGTGATCTGAGAAGGGTACAAGGTGGAGTTTCAGTGCCTAACCCATGAAATTAAACTGGTATCTATAGGCTAGGTGGCTTTCAGCGAGCTCCAGTTATCTCCTATGCAAAATGAACTTACTTAGAAATTTAAGTTATAGGTATCACATATAATGTACTTACCAAATTTAGTATACTAGGTAGCAAGTATATACAGTGATAGGTATCACAATTACTCTGTTTTTAAGGAGATGTATGTAGGATTGAAAGCCCATTTCATTTGAATTGCAGCCTTGCTGCATGGCAGTGTCCAAACTCACATCCTCAACTGGTGAATGCCCAGAAGAAATTGTGCCAAAGGAAAAAAGGAGTTACCAAATTGGGGGTGGCCTTCTATAATCTTGTAGACAATATCGTCTGGGCTGGCACCTGGAGCCTCAGCCTGTAAGATTTTATTAGTGATCTGCAGCATGCCTCCTTCCGGAACCCACACCATCGAATTAGCCACAAGCTGAAGAGCTCCATCATTCTAGAATAAGGAAAGAGTGCTGAATTAGGATCAGTAAGAAAACATTAATCCTTCAATACCTAAGTTATCAGGTCCTATTGTTGCAGAAGATCATCTAATAAGAAAGATTCATAGCATACAGCCACTCTGTAGACTATTTATGTACATAATATACACATGTATATATTCTGCTTTTTCTTTTAATCTATCATAAACAAATGCTTATATCATTTGGAAGACTAAGTCTCTCCATTGCTTTCTTTCATTTGTCTGTTGACCTGTCCTTCTGTCCTCAATATCTACCATGTCCAGAGAGTTACTCCTTAAGCATTTATTATATGCCAGCCTCTTTGCTAGAGAACTGAAATACACAGAGAGTCTGAAGCAAGATCTCAACTTCAGAATTTAGAGTCTGGTGAGAGAAACACACAAGTGATTAGGATGCTTCCTTCAAAACTGATGCTATATATGAAGCTGAGGAACAGACTATGGGAGAGTAGAACAAGGAGGTCTCAGGAGTTTTCCTAGGGAAGTATCAATGCCTTGTTGAATAACAAAAAAATTAGACTTTATAGGTAGAGAAGCAATGAAACAGATTTTAGCAGAGGGTCCGGCTTCACCAAAGGCAAATATATGAGATAACACACTGTGTGTTTAATAAAATGTCCAAGTGTTTGGCACCAGTAGGGCTCAGGGATGCAGAGGAAGTGTGGATAAAAAGTGACACTGTCTTAAAGAAAGATAGCAAAAGGTAGAATCTATGCGAAAAGTCTCAATTTTTCTTATAGCCTCTATAAAGGAAACAGAAGATTTCAGGGATGGAAAGGGGACAATCAGATGGATGGGATGATCAAGACAGACTCCAAGGACAAGGGATGGAGGTGACCAGCATTGGGATGAACTCGGCGCTGTAGAAACTATTTAACAAGTTCTTGCACTGGCTCAGGGGAAAGAAGATGAAAGCCTATGAGAGAGCAATTGCAGTAGGAATGAATGATTAGAAACAGATTACAGAAACACTACAGACCCAGAATTGAAAGGCCTGGTGGCTTATTGAAAGTGAATCAGAAACAGTTGGGAGTAGCTGGCTGGATGAAATCACCTATTCAACACTCCTGAGGAGGCAGCATTTTAATTGCTAAAGCTAATGTCATTAAAAAGTGCTGCCACTTCTGATTTACAAGGTGTGCACCCTCTTCCTAAGCCTCATAATTGACATTTTCTGCAGAATGAGATTAGTGAGGCTGCCACAAAGGTGTTCAGTTTGTTTTCATACTTCAAAAATCAGTGAATCTGAGAGCTGGGGATTTAGCTCAGTGGTTCTACCGCCTGCCTCGCAAGCATAAGGACCTGAGTTCGATCTCCGGTACCAAAAAAAAAAAATCAGTGAATCTGATATTTTAAAATAGGGTATTTCAAAAGGGGTGGTTTTCTAAATGGCTGTTATTACTTTCAAGTGTGCCAGTAACAACAGTACAAACAGCACTCTCAGGAAGAGGCTATTCAAAAGAAAAGACAACCATTCTTTTGCAATCACTTGCCATTTGAGCATTACTTCTCACAAAGCTGTTGTCATGACTATTTTCAGCACATAGAATAGGAAACTGAGTCACATCATGCCCAGGAGAACAGTGGCATAAGTACTTTTTATCCTGGTTGGTGCTCAGGGGACAAATCCCAGAAAGTTTTCTCCCTTCACAATGAATAGAGCACATTATTTACAAAAACATCAAACATGTGCCAGAAACTTTGCATATAATCTGCCAGAATTCAAGGGGAAAGGGCTCCAGCAGAACTTCATATACCGTGATACACTTTGGCCCAGGTCTCTAAATTGCTAGAAATCTTTCTAATAGCAGCAGCCCCGTCCACTTTGATTTTGGTTATAGAACTCAGTTATGTAGCAATAAGTTTATGATTGTGCTAAATAGGAAATGTAGTTCTTCATATTCCAAGCAAGCAGACCCTGTGATATGAATGCATGTCCCCCAGATGGCTCTCTAGTGCATCTCTGGCTTGACTTTACCAATACATTTTTCTGTAACTCCTCTGTGAGTGTAACTATTTAGGAGGCAGGACAATTTGCAACTCAAGTATTTACAGAAGAGCAGCACTTAGTAAGATATCTAGAATCTCAGGCCCACCCCAGATCTTCTGAATCATACTTTCTGAGTCAGAATCTTCATTTTAAAAAGTGTCCGGGCATGCTTGCTTCAGCAGCACATATACTAAAAAGTGTCCAGAAGAGGTGCAGACATGCCAACTTTTGAGAAGGTGGCCCAGGGCCCATTGCAATGTTCCAGTGGTTCACAGGTGGGCCTTTTAGAATAATTATGTTAAGCCAGGCGTGGTGGCAGACGCTAGTAACCTCAGCACTTGGGAGGTTGAGGCAGGAGGATTGCCTTGACTTGGAGGCCAGCCTGGGCAACACTGCAAGACCCTGTCTCAAAAAACAATGCCAAAATTTGCTTAGAATATTTATGTTTAAATCAGGATAATATATGTGTCTTCATATCTGAATTAGTATTTTCAGTACTTAAGAAACAACATTTAAGGGATAAAGTATAATTATTTGATGTAAACAAATGGCAGAACAGGAGATCTAGCCTGCAAACTCCAACAAAAACCATTATTTATTGTTTGACCAATTCGCTGATTGATTGATTTGCACTTGGGATTGAGCCCAGGGCCTTGCACATGCTAGGTAAGCACTCTACCACTGAGTTAACAACCACCCAAAGATAGCAATACTTTCATGGGAGCCAAGGAGTCCAGCCAAAGGTTCCAGCAGCTTGGTGGAGTGAAGTCCAAGAATAGAGGCTACAAAGAAGATCACAACTAAAAGTATATTTCATCCATATCACTTGCTCCTTCAAGATGACACAGCTTTGGGTTAAGAGACAGCCATTGGGCCCACAATTTCTCCTAAAGGGGGAAAGTGAGAGGAAAGTGAGTGCTCTGACTCCATAGCCTTAAGGGACAGTGCCCCCAAAGGCCCGCTTCTGTTTCACCCCATATGTAACACCAAGGAGTCTGGCCTGTTTCTACAATCTGGGCACTGCTAGGAGCAGGGAAAGGTGTGGGAGGGGAGCTCACAGTAACAACCTTGCAGATCTCAACAAACAGCTGAAAATAGGGGTCTCAACTTAGATACCACAAGTAGTTAGCAAGCACTCCCATCACTCCCCCTCCTATAGCCAGTGACCCATGCTCCCCCACAAACAGTGCAGGTGAACCTTTTCACACAGCACACTGATATCAAATAACCCTGAACACATCAGGGCACTGCCACAGGAAAAATGGAAGGCGTGTGGCACACAGCTCAGCTTTGCAGTGGGTTCAAAAAGCACACAGAAAAATCAAAGGAATAGGACACTGCCTAAGGAACAAAATAATGCTACACTGGCTGGTCCCTCTAAATGGAGATATATGAGTTGGGAATGTAGATCAGTAGCAGAGCACTTGTCTAGAATGTGAGAGGCCCTGGGTTTGATTCCTAGCCCTGGGAAAAGAAAAAGAATGAAAAAGGTGGAAATCTATGAATTGCCTGACAAAGGATGCAAAAATAATAAACTCAAGAAAGTACAATGAGTGGCAAGAGAACACAGATAGAAAACTAAACAAAAATCATGGTGGCAATACATGAACAAAATGAAAAGTTCAAGCAACGAAAAGATAGAAAAAGAACCAAAAAGATTAAAAAGAACCAAACAGAAATTCTGGAGCTGAAGAATGAAATGATTAACATGAAAACTTTAACAGAGCTTCCACAGCAGACTCCATCAAGAGAAAAGAGAATCAGTGATGCTGCAGAGAGAGCATCTGAAATTATCAAGTCAGAGAAACAAAAGGATAAAAAAGTTATTTAAAGAAATAATGACAGGGAACGAGCCCATGAGGCCCTTTATACCAAGATGGCGCCGAAGACGAAGAAGGAAGCTCCTGCCCCTCCTAAAGCTGAAGCCAAAGCAAAAGCTTTGAAAGCCAAGAAAGCAGTGCTGAAAGGCATCCACAGCCACAAAAAGAAGAAAATCCGCACGTCACCCACCTTCCGCTGTCCCAAGACACTGCGGCTCCGGCGGCAGCCGAAATACCCTCGGAAAAGTGCCCCCAGGAGAAACAAGCTTGACCACTATGCCATCATCAAGTTCCCCCTGACCACTGAGTCAGCCATGAAGAAGATAGAGGACAACAACACACACGTATTCACTGTGGATGTCAAGGCCAACAAGCACCAGATCAAACAAGCTGTGAAGAAGCTCTATGATATTGATGTGGCCAAGGTCAATACCCTAATCAGGCCTGATGGAGAGAAGAAGGCGTATGTTCGACTGGCTCCTGATTATGATGCTTTGGATGTTGCCAACAAAACTGGGATCATCTAAACTGAGTCCAGCTGGCTAATTCTAAATACACATTATTTTCACCAAAAAAAACAAAAAATAGAAATAATGACAAAAACTTTCCAAATCTAGAGAGAAAAATGAACATCCAGATCAATGAAGCCCAAAGAACTCCAAACAGATTGGTCATAAAGAAATATGCATGGAGATATATTAAAGTCCCATTTTTAAAAACTGAGGACAGGGCTGGGGATTTAGCTCAGTGGTTCCCATGCCTGCCTCCCAAGTGCAAGGTCCCAAAGTTTAATCCCCGGTGCCAAAGAAAAAACAAAACAAAACAAAACAAAATCTGAGGACAAAAAGACAATTTTGAAAGTAGCAAGATCAAAGTAACCCACCAAATACAAGGCAACCCCATACGACTATCAGTAGATAACTTAGCAGGAGTCATGTGGGCCAGGAGAATGGAACACAACAGTCAAAAAGTTATCCCCAAAATACAATTACCACCAAGACTAATTTACTAGCAAAGATGTCATTCAGAAATGAAGAAGAGATCAAAACTTTCCCAAAGAAACAAACACAAATAGACCTCATTATCATTAGGCTTGTCTCTCAAGAAATGCTAGAGTTCTTCCAGTTGAAATGGAAGGACATTAATTAACAATATAAAGATAC